GGGAGGGTGGGGGGGAGGGGGAGGGTTTTGGGGGGAGGGGCAGTGTAGATTTGAAAATGTTTTTATATCTGTACTTTTCCCCTTCTATAAAATCAACACAACGCGCGGGGCGGCCATGACAACGCCGTCACAGAGCGCTGCGGATTCTCCAGCAGATGGTGTGTGCCTTCTGGCTCCCTGCCTCTGATTGAAGGGACATGGGAGGAGGAGCCAATGCTCTGGAGGGGGAGGAGTCACTTCACTGACACATTCTCTAGAGGCTTTTAATTGTACCTATTGAACTCTATAAAACAGGAGCCAACAGCGCCACCTGCTGGATGAGCGTCATATGAACATGTCATAGACACCCTACTACAAAAATAAGGACATACATATTCTTCAACATTCCATGTTCTGGAAATAAAGAACATTTACAAAATTGCCCTTTACCATGAGATTTGTCAGAAGGACGGCACCATCTTTATTCAGGTATCTTCCAGAGATGCCGGCTCAGAAAGGACACAAATCATGTAAATCCTGGTGGTTGTTTTCACAAAATGTCTGACACAGATCAGCCCCCCGCTGCAACCTCTCTTTTTTTTCTGCAGAAGGGCCACATTGCTGCACATAATACAGACTCAGCGACATGCTGATCCCCCACTTCCCTGGGACTATGCAGAGGGGACGCCCCTCCCCACCCCCACACTTCCCTGGGACTATGCAGAGGGGACGCCCCTCCCCACCCCCACACTTCCCTGGGACTATGCAGAGGGGACGCCCCTCCATTTATATACTGAGGCAAAGCGGAACAAATCTGGCCGGAGGTTGAGGAGGACTCCTTATGGGGGGCCCCAGGGTCGTAGGGGACACTGACACCATCCCCCCGCCCCCTCCAGTCCGCACTAATCCTGCAGATCTGGCCGCTGAGTGACCGCGCCGAGCGCATGGTGTGACATGAGATCCCCGGAGACGTCTCGTCATGTGATCAGAGCTGACACTTCACAGGGAAATGTGGGAATCGGCAGAGAGCCGCCCCGGAGAACAGGCTGAACCGACCGTGAACTCCGGCGAACGCCGCTCATCCTGGGCGCCGGTCCCGGGAACACCACCTGCGGGGGGAACCATTAATATTCAACGCTCAGTGATTGGGATTCTGCGGTGGTGAGAGAGGCGCCGGCGTCTGTGAATGTAAATCACCCGATCGGAGGGGTGACAGGAATGTGCACGGGGCAGCCATGTGCAGTGTGTGGGGTGTATGATGGTGGCAATGGCAGCTTCTGTTCTGTTCTGACAGGTCCCCTTTTAATGAGTCATTCGGCGGGAGAGGAACAGTAAGGTGCAGCCACTGTAAGAAGCAGAGCCTGCTCATCTATTGAGCCTCTCTGCCTGTGTCAAACCACAGACCCTCTCCGTGACTTGCTTTGTCATTGGTTTTATCTCAGCAGTTTGGTAGGGAGGCTGACTGACCTGATACACAATGAAGTGCCAGTGGGCACTCATGTTATAAAGATTTGGTACACCTGGAAACTGTGTTTGTATCTATGGACTGCATTGTGTGTAATGGTTGGAGTCCCCCTGTAATGCACACACCTGATGGGGCCAGTAACAGGAAGTGCGGACACTCTGCACGGCCTCGCTGATCTCTTTGGTTTCCACCGAGCGGAGGAGGTAACAGATTTCTTTCACGGCTTCCAGAAGTCCACCAATGCCGCCGTTCTGAAAGACAAAAATTGGTGGACGGCGCTTCGCAGCCTCTTTCTGGAAGGGAAGAAGATCCATTAACCTCCATGCAGCATTGTGGGGAAAGGTGACGTTGGAGACCGCAGACAGATGCCGGTGTTGCCGAATCCTGAGCCCGACCACCTGACCCGTCCATGGGGGGGTCTCGTCACACCCACTGCTGGATTTCTCAGAACACCGCGCCCTGAGGTCAGATACTGTGAGGGGTTAATAGGACAACGGTACCCGAGAGGAGCGAGCCAATCAGGACAGAGGGCAGGGAGCATCATGTCCGGATTGGGGTTCCTGATAGGTCGGCCCGGCTTTATTTGGAGTAAAAACTGAGACAGTCCCCAGCTAGCATGAGCATTGTGGGTACTTCAGGTCATTAGAGACTGCAGAAAGTCCATTGTTTTCAGGGAACTTTCTCAGTCACAGGTGTCAGATGAAACAGGAAGTGAGGTGACATCCGCCCAATGGGGACAAAGATGGACAGAGGACCAAACCTTCTGCACTTAACCCAAAACTAAAACAGAGGCCGGTGATTGGCTGCTTACCTGAGCTCCGCCCAGTACTGGAGATGTTCCTGCCGGTCGCTGAGCTCCAGCTGCTTCCCGTCATCCTCCACCTATAAGAGATGAGAAGACAATGAGGAGGACGAGACGGACCAAACATTATCCGGGGGGCGCTGGAGGAGGAGCTTTCCTCTAGGTGATGATGTCATTGGTTTTACGTTTTGCTGGACCTGGCTGTATTTCACTGGTAGGCGGAGCCATCCAATCTGGAATAATCTGCAGCTTAAAGGGGAAGTAGGTATAATATGACCCCCAAGCACTGCACAAACCAGCCAATCAGATTCCATCCCGTACTGCTGTGACTCTGGATTCTGATTGGTGGCCCCGATATTGTACAATATAAGTGGGAACTCACGGATCGGGCCAGCGGAAGCGCGACATCCCCCCCATCGTGGAGCCGGAGGCGAATGCGTGACAATCTCTGGAGACTCGAGTGACTCCGCAAGCTGAATCCTCTGCAGGAAAAAAGAAACAATCAGAGAATCCAAAAAAGCCAAAAACTTCTCCCGAAACTCCCAACCGCAAATTGCAGCGCTAAAAGTATTATTTATAGCGCCGCCATCTGCCATGGTGTTGTACAATGTTCAGACTGACAGCATCAGTATGAGACTTCCCTCCCCTGAGAACCACAGAAAGTTCCCGTCTGTTCTCTGCTCTGCACCAATCCGAACACATGTAGGGATTCCGGACCTGACACTGCTGAGCCCTAATAGGGTGGAAGAGTGAGTTTGTATCGGGTGCTTTTAGCTGGAGACAACCTCCTCCTCCCTCTCCCTATAAGGCTGGCCAGGTGTCACCCATAACTAAAGGGAATGCTGGGACTTGTAGTTTCCCAGCAGCTGACAGTCCTGGTACACAGGTGGAGGCAAGCTGATTGGTGAGATTCTGATCCCTCCACAGACTGCATAATCCTCCGATTAGAAGAGTGTCACTCTGAGATGATTTGTGGATCAGGAGCGCCACCTGCTGGAGAATGTCAGCTCTGCGTGCAGGAAAGGATTTGTTTCAGGAGCGCCACCTGCTGGGGAATATAAACTCTGCATGCAGGAAATTATGTGGATCAGGAGCGCCACCTGCTGGGGAATGTCAGTTGTGCGTGCAGGAAATATGTGGATCAGGAGCACCACCTGCTGGGGAATGTCAGTTCTGCGTGCAGGAAATTAATTGTGGATTAGGAGCGCCACCTGCTGGGGTAAATCAGTTCTGCATGCAGGAAATTATATGTGGATCAGGAGCGCCACCTGCTGGGGTAAGTCAGTTCTGCATGCAGGAAATTATATGTGGATTAGGAGCATCACCTGCTGGGGTAAGTGAGTTCTGCATGCAGGAAGTGAATCGTGGATCAGGAGCTGCTGGGGAACGCCAGTTGTGCGTGCAACTAATGATTTTTGGATCAGGAGCTCAGTCAGAAAGTCGGGTCTGTGCTGCTCCAAGCAGACGTCTTTTCATTCAAGTGATTTATCTGATCGGTGCAGCTCATCAGATCTCATTCCTCCAACACAGACATCCAATGGAGATCCTGGATACTGCTGCGATGAGCTTGGTGTAATCTGATTTGGCATGCGTCTGTGTAATCAGCATGGAACAATGGGGAATCAATAAATAATTTAGCCAACACACGCAGCCAACACATTCCAATGGACTGCAGGTGTACCTTAATCCCAGGACACACAGAGCACCTCACAGGGGCAGTAGGCGTATACTTCCTGAGCCTGTGTTAGGACTCCTCCCTCTCTGCGTTCTTATCACCAATCACACACAGACATTAGGATTTAAATCTGGTTGGTGGATGTGAAAACATTCTTTGTAAAGACATTTTTGTTTACATTGAGCTGTATGTGATTAGCAGCAAAGAGGGTGTTCCAGTATCACAAGCAGGTGAGTTCCAGGATCATCAGATGGCAGACAGTAGGGAGTGAGGTGGAGGGATCTGTACAACAATGTCTATGTGAACTATTGTTAGCTCGGCTTCCTTTCCCATCCGCCCCAGAGGTCTAGGGGGCGTGTACCTCTGCTGCACGCGGGTGGCTGTTGCTTTGTCCCTACAGGGTAATGTTTTCTGTCATAGAGGAGTGATGGCGCCTTACCTCTGCAGATACTCATCCCCGCCGCAGATCCGAAGCAAACTGACTTTCCGGTTGGGGTCCGGTGGGTATGGTGGAGAGTCCGGTGCCGGAGAGAAGTTCAGGGACGGGTACAGGCTCTGCGATGGCAGATTCTGGGGTGGATAATATCGGTCCTGGTCCGGGTAACGATGAGTCGGCGGGATGTAATCCGGCGTGTGCAGAGACGGGTACAGGGCAGAGGCAGATCCATGTAACTTATGGAGGATATCAGAAATGAGATCTTCAATCCGGACTGTGTCTGGAAGAGAAAGATCACCCTATGAGTAATCTTCCATCATCCTATCACTACCTGGGGGAGGAGTTCTGATGATTGACAGCTCACAGCTCATTAACTTCAGAGTACTGGGAAGGGATGTGTGAGGTCTGAGCCCTTACCTGAAGTCAGCCATCCTGAATAGTGATGAGCTCGGGCGTGTTCGCAAGCACCCCGTGCCGAGCCCGCCAGGAAGCCGTCAGCGCGCAGCACCAATCACAGGCACTGAGCCATTTTCCGATCTCTGCAACTTCCTGGCGGGCTCGGCACGAGGCGCTTGCGAACACGCCCGAGCTCATCACTAATCCTGAAGTGGATCATTTAGGGGAGGAGCTGCCCAGGATATTGTCAGATCATTAACAGGTCTCTATGACGGCCCCGCCCCTGACCACCAGCCTATGAGAGACGAGGCCTCACGCACCCCTCGGCTCTTCTGGGGAAGTTAATGAGCTGTGCGCTGAGCTCCGCAGTAAAGGGAAATGAGATTCTTTATTACCATCTCTACAAGCTCAGCGTGTGATCGGTGTACTGAGATGGATTTCCTTTTCCAATAATAATCTATAACCCCCCCTCCCCCATCAGATCACTGACCTCTCTGCAGAAGCAGGAGGGGAGTCTCGAGATTCTCCACATACACAGAAATTTCCACCTCTGAATCTTCCACCTCTTCCGGGAAGGGAATGGCGACACTCCACAATCTACCCGGATTTGAAGCCGCGTCTGTGGCGCTGAATTCACTTCTTATACTGAGAGAGAGAAAGTAACACAAGTGACCCAAGTAGGCCGGTCCCCAATACTGCGAGGAACAACAATATGGCAATATAATCATATCAGCTAATAAAGGAGAACGCTGAGCCAGTCACATCAATGTCTGCACCAGAGGAGCTTACACTCTAATGTCCTCACCACCATCACGCCCTATGATTATAGGTGTATATAGCTCTGACATATACCGCAGTGTTGTACAGTGATGATATAACGGTGAGTTTCTCGTCTACGTACAGTTTTACGCTCTCGCAGAACGCGCTGAACGCCGTATTCTTATTGGAGGAGGTTTCCAGGATCGGGATCTTCCAGTCGGTTATCTGGAGAAGTGAAATGAATTGAGAAATCAGTAAATCATCAATAACGGTCGTCATGTGACTCTGATACAAATGTTTCCCTCGCTGTGATTGGCTCAGCACTCTGATGGGGAACACAGATGATATCGCTCAGCTTTATACATTGTATCATCTGTATCTCTCCATAGAAGGGTGTGATTTCCTTCACCATCACATGACCCGACATTACCGGGAGGGTGGACAGCCATTGGATGCTGCTCTGGTCTTAAACTCACCACAAACCTTGCAATCTGATTGTACAATCTCCTTTAGATCTACCAAAAGCTATGGAGAACAAGGTCCTTCCTGATTGGGTACAGATCGATCGGTTAGATCAGGGAGGTGCTCAGATTACACAGTAAATCTAAATGTTGGACGGAGTGGTGGTGATCGGGGGGGCAGGGGGACCCTATATCAGGTTTTTATGACTCCCTGCTATTCAGCCTTTCTATTTGACACATGACAGGAAGTGGAAGATCCAATACAGTTGTCACCAGGACAGGAAAGGAGGGGAAATCTTCCAATGGGGGCACCTGGTCTGGAAACAACTAAGAGTGGATGTCCCCTCATTTTGGAGAGATTTGCTCTCATTTCCTGCTGTGTCCCTGGGACAGGAAGTGAAGGAGGGACATAGACAGAACAGGTCTTTTAACCTATTCCCGTCTATTTCCATACACTTTAAAGGCTCATTCACACCGGCGGGCACGCGCTATTGTTCTCATAATGTGCTGTGCGCGCTGCGATGCATTTTTACAACATCCCAAGGAGGCCGGTGTGGAGGATCCCTAGAGCCTTGTGTCCAATCGCACGCGTCTTGTCTCTGTGTATAGCGTGTAATGATATATGTACACGGGGCAGCCCTATTCACGCAGGCTCTGCTTCCCGCTGAGTGACCGCACTTTAGTGTTCTTCAATGTCAGCGCAAATCTGCGGTCAGGTCTGATTACACGGAAGGAATTCAGTGTCTATGAGGAGTGTACATTACTCGGATCTCATCAGCTGTTCAGCAAAGATGCTGACTGCACTGGGTAAAGTACGGACATGTGAAATATGGAGCAGCACTGAAGTGAAATGTTACAATAGCTCATAATGTGAACTCACTCCTGTAGTCTCCCTTAATAAATATCGGCGGTTTATCGGAGATTATATCGGCGGTTTATCGTCTCACCTGAGTGTGTCGGTGATGATCGGGAGCTCTTGGCTGGACGTCATACATGGAGAATCTTCTCATCTGCCGTCTCTCCTCGTCACCCCGCCAGGCGTCCTCTCTCAGAGTCTGACTTCTCACCAGCCCTCGGCCGCCAGCGTTCGGTGTGAGGAAGGCGCCACTGGGACAGGCAATCTGGTGGTAATGTGCGGCGGGATCGACGTAAGACAAATCCCCAAAATTCTCAAAACCGACTTGGAATCCTTGGAGGTGTGTCGGATTCTGCGGTTCCAGCTCTGCGGCTGGGTCAGAGGTGTCCGCGGTGGGAGGCGGCTCCTCCGGAAACCATGACTGTCGCTCTTCTATCCAGTTGTTGGTTACAAATCCATATGAAGGTGGAAGAGCCGCTGTGCCGGTCATGTGATGAGGTGCCAGTGTGTTGGTCAAGTGAGGGGGTGCTGCAGCGCTGGTCATGTGATTGGGTACCGAAGTGCCGGTCATGTGATGGGGCGCTGATGTGCTGGTCATGTGGAAGGGTTCTGGGGTGCCGATCATGTGATGGGGTGCAGGGGTCCCGGTCATGTGATGGGGTGCAGGGGTCCCGGTCATGTGATGGGGTGCAGGGGTCCCGGTCATGTGATAGGGTGCAGGGGTCCCAGTCATGTGATCGGGTGCAGCTGTCCCGGTCATGTGATGGGGTGCAGGGGTCCCGGTCATGTGATAGGGTGCAGGAGTCCCTGTCATGTGATGGGGTGCAGGAGTCCCAGTCATGTGATATGTTCCTGGGAAGTTGGTCAGCTGAGACAGGGCGGGATCAAATCCAATGGCTGGCGGTCCATCCCCACCAGGAAAAGTCGGTGCGCTCGGGACCATAGACTCCAGTTCATATGCCGGAGAAGGGTGTCGCGGGGTTTGGCCATTGGGGTTGAAGTTCGTCACATGGTCCGAAAATCCAAAATGGAAGCCAGGATTCATCTTTCATCTGAAGATCTGTCTTATGGTGGATGAGCCGGGATCTGCGGATGAGAAAACACGGACAGTCTGTACACACAATGCCGGGATGGGGGGTCGGTTTGGGTGGTGAGGTCAGAATGTCGGTCAGGTTTTTATTGCTGTGTCCCCACTGGGAAGATTTGCCCTCTCTGTGTTCCATGGTGTCACCGGGACAGAGAGTAATGGGAAACCCAAATTGTTATAAATGTCACCAGAACAGGAAGAGAGGAGAAATCTTCCAATAGGGACACCTGGTCTGCTGAGAACTGTGAAAGGATTTCCTGTGACTTTGGAGAGATCTCTTCTCACTTCCTGTTGTTTCTTCGGGACAGGAAGTGACGGGAAATCTACCCAATAGGACACAGACAGAACAAAAAGCATTTCCAACTGTGTCAGAGCCAATAAGTTTTGGCTGTAGATACACTTGATAGAATAAGCCGGAGTTCTGTCATTGTGTTCACGCTCTTCACACTTCATTATTATTTTACTGGCTCGGTGACACCAAATGGGGAGGGGGCGTGTGAAAGGGGCAGCATGACCATGATGTCAGACAATGGTAACTGGCAGCGGGCGTCCCAGCCTGGCACTGATAAGATGCAGAGTGCTGTGAATGCCGACACCGTGCCGCCCGGTGACTCAGAATGATACTTCCTGTTAGGACACGTCTTATATATCAGTGAATGTACACAGACATACAATGTAAAAAGACACACAACGTACACAGACACACAATGTACACACACAACGTACACAGACACACAACCTACACACACAACGTACACAGACACACAATGTACACACACACACAATGTACACACACAACGTACACAGACACACAATGTACACACACAATGTACGCACACAACGTACACAGACACACAACATACACACAATGTACACACTCCATACACACACACATACTGCCTACACTGATACGTACACAGTGTACATGGATACAAAGTAGCGTACACCCCACAATGTGCACAGATACATAAACACTGAACACACACAGAATACACACTCTGTACACTGACAGCTCCTGAGGTAACCATGGAGAAAGTTGTTAGGAGTTGGTAGTGTCGGTCATTTTATTGAGAACTGTCAGTGTTACCTATGTGGTGTCACCCTGACCCTATCAATGTTACCTGTGCCGTGTCACCCCGGCGGTGTCAGTGTTACTGTGCCGTGTCACCCTAGAACTGGTAGTGTTACCTGTGTGGTGTCCCCCCAGCAGTGTCAGTGTAACCTGTGCGCTGTTGCCCCGGCGGTGTCAGTCTTACCTCTGCGGTCCCCCGCCGGCGGTGTCAGTGTTACCTGTGCGGTGTCACCCCAGCAATGTGAGTGTTACCTGTGCGGTGTCGCCCCGGCGGTGTCAGTGTAACCTGTGCGCTGTTGCCCCGGCGGTGTCAGTCTTACCTGTGCGGTGGCCCCCCTGCCGGTGTCAGTGTTACTGTGCCGTGTCACCCCAGCAATGTGAGTGTTACCTGTGCGGTGTCCCCCTGGCAGTGTCAGTGTTACCTGTGTGGTGTCGCCCCGGCGGTGTCAGTGTAACCTGTGCGCTGTTGCCCCGGCGGTGTCAGTGTAACCTGTGCGCTGTTGCACCGGCGGTGTCAGTCTTACCTGTGCGGTGTCACCCCGGCGGTGTCAGTGTTACTGTGCGCTGTCACCGCAGCAAAGTGAGTGTTACCTGTGCGGTGTCCCCCCGGCAGTGTCAGTGTTACCTGTATGGTGTCGCCCCGGCGGTATCAGTGTAACCTGTGCGCTGTTGCCCCGGCGGTGTCAGTCTTACCTCTGTGGTGGTCCCC